GCAAACTGTCCTCTTCTTGTCTTTGCAATGCTTCAGAGCACTGTCGTACCTCAGAGTTTTGAACAATTTGACTCAAATACTTTTTGTCCATTACTGAAAGCTTTCCAATTTGATGATTAACTAAAGATCAACACCCTCAATCTTGAATGATGCAATGCAAAAAGCAAACATAAAAGAAAAATCAAAAAAAGGAAATGAGTTAGTACAAGTAATGAGTTAATAAAATTTTGGAAAAATACCTACCCATCATGATATCTACCCAAACATTCTTTTTAATAAATAGCAATCATACCCAAACATGCTTTCTAACCCATATACTAAATATAATAAGATAAACCTTAAACTGCATAATTTTCTAATTCACATGCATTTATAAAAATAAATAAATAAAAATATATTTAAAAAATAAAGGTTAGAGTTCATTTCTCCTTTGTGTACACTTATTTGGGTACCTATGGACAGAGTTTCGGCCTGGTCTTAAATCGGGTGGGTTTCTACGGTTTATTATATATAGAGTTTTTGTTCTAAGAGTAAAGGTACTCGAATTGTCCTTGTTGGTGCTCACTTGGGCGAGCTAGACCCTCAATCCTCACCCATTATAGGCTTAAGTGGATCAAGTTCAATTCGAGGGGGCACATTTCCCTATGTCTGACACGGAGAATAAATCCTCACGAAGACATAGGGCATATGAACCCCGGAAGCTGCTTGCTAGGTCTGACACGAAGAATAAATTCTCACGAAGATGTCGCTTTCACTCCCACTTAAAAGGAAGAGCTCGGGTATAGAGCTTATGTTATGCAATGCAGGAGTCGTGTATGAGGAGAAATTATCAAACCTTTGACAAACAACCACACACAAATGAACTTAAAGCGAATCTGAGACTTTGACATCTGAAAATCAATCAAATACACATTAGTATACAAATATAAAATTAAATAATGATTGAAAGGACTCATAAATTAAATAAAACCGACTTCTCAATTTCTAACTATAGAGACAATATATAATCGATTTATGGCTTGACCCTCTAAGTCCCCAACGTAGTCGCCAAGCTGTCGTAACCAATTTTCGGCGATACGACGAGTCTCGACTCATTTTGTGAAAACCTGCTTTTTGTAAAAGAACTGTTTCGGAGTCACCATTGACCATTTGGATTAGGTAGGTCGAATACCTAAAAAATTTCTTTTAAAAAGAGTTTTTAAGAAAAACGTCATTTTAAAAGATACATCGATCCACGTGTAACCATAAATTCATTTTTTTAGTAATAAAAGGGGTTCAGAGGTCGATTACGTGTGGGGAAGGATAAACACCCCCACAACGCCCAAAATTGGTAACTATCGATTATATATTGTCTCTAAATAGTAGAAATCTAAGAATTTGAATATATATTTAAATTATGATTCCAATATTCCGAATTCAACCATACAATATTATAGAACAAAAATTCTAAGGAAAAATATAAAATAATCTCTTATTTCCAATTGAAAAGATAAGGACGAATATTTCTCTTTCCAACTGAAATAAAAAGAATATAATAATTTTCCTAAGGATTCCATATTAAAAAATTTATTATACCAAAGAAAAATAAATAAATCCATTAATCCTAATTATATTAATAGAAAAGATAAGGGATATTTAATAATTTTAAAATACCGAGACTTAATCTCTAATAAAATTAGCAAATTGTCTCGATAAGTTTAAAATAGTGAATATTTTCTTTTCCCTTCAAAATTAATTAATTTTCAATGCAATCTATTTTTTTTTAGGTTTTTCTAGTGGGATATTTATTTATTTTAAAATATCGGAAAAGGACATCTAGTTGTCTTAAGACTTTCCCTTCTTAATATTTTAAAATACATAAATACTACCCTTAATCCAATTATGCAATCGGTTAAGTTATGCTAATGAGGCTTTTAAACAAAATAAAATATGATACATTGAAGCACTAAGAGGGAAAAAAATATAAATGCACATGGATTAAAAGAACAATTTTAAATTTATTTTTAACTTTATTTTACTTTATAAATATAAATATTTTCTAAATATTATATTAAACATAGAACATAATATTTATTCTAAAATATAATAAAAATAAAAAATAAAATACTTATATTATGCTATAATATTATGTACAAAGTAATATATAATAATAATACAAGCAAAATAAATATCTAAAACATACTTTAATGGTAAAAATAGACAATATACATATGAATCTACTCATTACATGGTGATAAAAATAAATGTGTAGTAACCTTAGGATCTTAAACATTAATAAACAAATATCATGGCATGAAACAAGAACATAACTAGAACAAAAGCACTAGAATCATAATAACACCATAACTATAGGACTAAAATGGAATATCATAAATATCAGTACCCAAATTTCGAACAAAAAAATACATACAACAGAGGACTAAATTAAAATAATACAAAACCCAGCATTTAATTCGTAAATCTTAGAAAATAAAAAGAAATGGAGACTAAAATGTAAACGCGCTGAAGCTATGAGGACCTACGGCTCGATTAACCCTAAAAATGACTAGAACGCAAATCACATTAAACAAAAAGGACCAAAAGGATGATTTAACCCTAAACTGGTGATCAGAACGCGAAACACGCTAAAGGTCTAGGGACCTTAGCGTGGTTTACCCAAAAAACCTAAAATATCAACTCTTTCCCCCCTCTCCGAATTCATTTCGCACGATCCTAAAATCCCCAACTTTTCTCTCCCTTTTTCTTCATTCAACGGCGACAACCCCCTTTCCCCTAAGGATCTAACGCCCGACCACCACATAATGGTAGCCATTTAAGCCCGATTAACAAGCACAAACGCCATAAAGCCCCTTGCCCGTAGACCAAACGAAAACTAAACCTAAACATCTCATCCCTTCCTTGGCCGAGAGATCCAAAGCAAAAGGCAAGACACCACACACGGCGGCGTTACCACCTCAACTAAGCTAACCCGACCTATATCACCTCCCTGACTGCCCGATTCAGCAAGGAACACAACTAACCCCCGGTAAAATCTTCTACTTCTAATTTATTTTCTTTCCCTAAAAAAATTATTTAAGCTTTGTTTTAGTTTTATTATTTTTTAAAACCAAGAGAAACGAAAAGGAGAAGAAAAATACCTTAAAATAATTCTTGTATTTCTGCTGAAAAAAATGAGAGGAAGTGATCCCCCTCTCGGTTACATCATTTTGGTTCTTATAACCAATTTTACATAGGTTTAAAAATACAAATAAAAATATTCCTAGATCTACTGTGGTGTTACTGTTGTTGATGATGGTGTGCTTTTAATGCCCTAGATATTATAGGGTTTTATTGAGAAAGCTTGGGAAATAGAGGTGACGGCTGAAGGTATGATATCTCTAAGGTTAGGATTAGGGTCTATTGGGCTTGAGGTTTAAGGGTTATGGGATTTGGGGTATGAAAAAATAGCGGTTACACAAGTGTTGAGTACCCTATAAGGTGAACCAAAGATATATTTAGGGCTCCATAAATAAGAGGGCAAAATCTAGAAATCCTAACGCTAACTAATCCATACATCCATCTCTTCCACTGAATTGACATTTCATTCAAGTTTATGGTACTTGTCCCTAAGAATTGTGGCCTTTTAGGGTAAAGATACACAGACTTTCAGCCTTTCCGATATAAAGTAAACCTTGTGAAATAATCTTCCAATACACAGAAGTACAAGAAACCCACCTGTATATGTGCATTAAATGAATGTCGATCAATATTCATTCATATAATTATGGAATAATACCAAAATTAGTCCCCCAATATTTTTTGAATGAATATTTTGGTCTTTTTTAGAATACTTTAGCTCCAACACGTCAATTTTTTAGACAAAATGATCCATGTTGATGAAAACCATTAATTGACTATCATACATCACATGATGCAGACATGACATTTTCATATATGCTAAATTACTAACGTATTACAAGTCATGTCACCCAATATGATGATCTGATGTATGTCAGGTCACTTAAGGTGATGAACTATCATATGTCACATCACTCAATGTGGTAGTGTGACATTTTTCACATCACCCAAGATAATGATGTGTCATGTGTCACATCACTTAACATGCCATGTCACCGAAAGTGATGACTTGGTGTGATTCGTCAGCAATTAAACACATGTAAAAATACCACGTCAATAATATGCATTAATCATTAGTCAATTAATGGTTCTATCCAACATGAACCATTTTGACCAAAAGTTGAAACGTTAAGGATTGAAATGCTCTAAGAAAATAGTGGCTAAAGTGGTCATTCCAATAGATATTGAGGGCTAATTTTGCATTATGCCTATGAGTATATAGTATAAAATGTTTGTGTATTTGGTTTAGGGATCATGTGTACTTGCCTTTGTACCCCATGTTGTTTGATTTTCATAAGAGCAAGAGGCTAAAACGTTGGCCTTTTCCAACAACATTCTTGAAGATTCCCCATCGATTGTGGAATTAGGGTTATGATCTTCGACTAGGCTTTTAATGAACTCCGTTGATGGACCAAACCATCTTTTCATTGTCATTAGGTCTATATTAACTAGTCATTGGTTATGATATTTTGAAGTTACCATGCAGTAAAAAAATAAGATAAACTATGTATTTAGTACCTAAACTATCAGCTTTGTTCCTTTTTAGTACAAACTTTCAATTTTTTCAAAATCATACATTACGTTTAGTTTTTATTTCATTTTAGTACCCCACCGTTAAAAACTTAAAGCGTTTATTATCTAAACTATCAATTTTGGTTTGTTTTAGTACCTAAACTTACATTTTTTTCAAAACATAGCGTTAGATTTTGAACGAGATACTAAAACGAAACAAAAACTAAAGTTTTAAACGACAGGTACTAAAACAAAAAAAAACTAAACGTCAGGTACGATTTTGAAGAAATTGAAAGTTTGAATACTAAAACGGATAAAAACTAATAGTTTAGATACTAAATATAATTTACCCAAAAATGCAGGTCTGAGTGTAGTAGTTGCCCAAAGATTAAGCTCGAAAATGTTTGGGTCATCAATATCGATATAACTAACACTGCTTACTGAAATTACCCAATAAAGCCTCCCTCTTTTTATAAAAGTTGGTTCCCGCAATAGTCGGTCCTCCGACTCCATCGAAACCAGGCCAATATATCTGAACTCATTTTCATCAAATTAAAACATCAATCTCAACATACATGCACATACATTCCCATGATATCTTAATAACGAACCTTGAATGTAGCCCGTATTTCTCCGTCGTAGATATCGTCGTCGCAAATATTCCGAAACGTTTGAGGGAATTGCAAATGCTAAAGAAGGAGATGTTTGAGAGTCACAATAGTAACACATTGCTCGCCTAGCCGATGTCGGCTCATTGCAGTACATGTCGCAGTCGAGCACGAGTATATACGGAGAATTACTCATCATCTCCGAGACCCGAAGCTAAAAACGAAAGAAACACAACATGTAGACTATACGAACGATTAGCATTTTTGGTCATACAAAGATATGCGTATACGACTTAAAGAAATCGAAAGTGACATACAAGGACATTGATGGCTCCGGCTTTGAAATTATGATGTTGAGAAGGTCTCCTCTCACGAGACATAAGGCATTTTCTCTCTTGGATGCTCATTTATAACCTACAAAATAATTTTTAATAAAAATGAAAATCCATCGAATAAATTTATTTATTTTATTATTTTATATAATAAGACATGAATAAATAAATTACGATGAAAAAGAATACCTCAATAATAGAAGGGTGATCACGAGCATTGGTGTTGAGGGAGACATTATGAGTTTGTTGTACAGTTGTCTTCAGTCTTTGCTTCATAACCTCATATTTTTGCTACATGTTAAAAAAAGTATTTCTTTTTAGTGTTTCTTTAAAATAATTTATTTTGTTATTAATATATGCTTATTTAAATTAATGTTTTAAATAAATATTAATATTGAAAATATTTTTAGAGTAGATGAATTGATGCAAAAAATTAAACTCAGTAAGTTTCATATCATTGATTAAGTACTAAAAGTTTAATATTGCTTTTTTTTAATTTATTAAACAATATTTTAATGGTAAATCTTTCCATGAATTAAATTGTATATCAAAGCCTAAAGATTTGTCTAATATTTGAGAAGAGAATATTTGAATAAATATGAGCTTAACCAGGCAATCTAGGTAGGGTAAGCTTACTTAAGCATTATTAAGCTACTTACCACTTGAACCAACCTCGTTGGTTATTTTAGATATTTTTAAGGGAAAACTTATGCCTTTTGTACCCTAAAACAAATTTTTAACTTTATCTTTGTTCAACGTCTGGGAAGTTTTACGGTACACTAGTTTAATATAAAGTTAAAGAAAAACGCGACCTAAAATATTAATTTTCTAATATTTTTCAGTTTAACCGAAAATATTATGAAAAATATCATATTTTCAGTTGTAACCTAAAATGTTACAAAGAAGATTTACATCAGAAAAATATTAAAAAAATAACTTTATAGATTTATTTTTGTTTATAACATTTAAAGTCGTCTCTCTTTAACCTTATATTAATCTACTGTACCGTGTAGAAGTACCCTCGACATCCAAACTCAATTTTATTAGATTTTAAATTTACGTTACGTTATTTTTTTATATTTATATATTTTATGTAACATATATTATTATTTTTATTGTCGTAAATTAAAATAATGCATTCTCACTCGATTTAAAATATCGTATAAAAGTTGAAATTGTTACCTTTATCTTTCCGTCGTCTTACTTAAAATCGGAACCTTTAAACTCACCGTGTTCAAGTATCGAGCTTGAAAATATATATTTCCGGGGACCCGGTATCGATACCATATTTCCTACAAAACGGGACCCAATACTTGGCAAAGTTCCAAGCCTCCTTCACACAACGCAAAGTCGCATCGGAACCGGCATCGTCGGAAACATAAACATGAAGTTTTTCCGGTGTATAATTCATGGCCACGGCGGATATCACAGTGTTCACCGGTGGATAATTCCGGTGGATAGCCGGAAGCTAGTCGTTGGGTGGCAATCTCTCGGGGAAGACGGTCCGGTAAACCAGGCGCCATCGAGTGGATTGCCAAAGGAGCCATGATAGAGAGAGAAGCAACTCAGAGAAGAAGGTTAGAAGCCAGGAAGCGTGGGGTGTTGGAAAAAGAAGGAAAGCCTGTAGCGAATCAGAAAAAGTATGGCTATAAAATGCAGGATTAAGTGCGACCTGTTGATGATTATGGTCAAGCTGTTTGCATGGAGTAGATGGAGAGGAAGAGATTTCTCCATGGATAAGGATGATGATTGCTTGGTTTCGGTATACAGCTCGACAGCCTCAAATAAATGTAGGCATATTATTTCAATAAATATTTTTTGAAATATTAGAGAAAATATTTTATTTTATACATAAATTAGATAATTTTAACATTTTAAGTGAAAAAGAATCAGTTATTTATCTTCTTCCCGTTGTGTGACTGACATTTATTGATCATCAAGGACATGACTAGAAATGGACGCAAAATTTTAAATTAGGGGAATGAATTTAATTTTATAAAATTTTAGAGATAAATTTAAATTTATAAAATTTTAGAGATAAATTTAAATTTATAAAATTTTAGGAGATGAAAATATATTTTCAATTGAAAATATTAAAAAATATAAAATATATGATAATTTTAGATTTTAGGAGGCGGGCCACCCCTCCCTTCTCGCCTAGATCCATCCCTACTACAACCATTCCACAAAATAATTTTAACTTTATATTAGACTCTTTGTAGTACAAAATTAGGAATACTTTATATTATTCGAGAGTAGTTCGAATGCATTTTATAAAGTTGAGAGTTAGAATCGAAGTGAAGTTGGATTTACCAATGGGGTTGGTTCAAGTGATAAGCAATTTGATATCGCTTAAAAAAGTCTTAGGTTCGAGGTCTTGTGTTATGCAGAAAATCTTCGTTGGGAGACTCACCCATCAAAGTCAGGTATGTGACCCGGATCAATCCAAATTAATCAAGACAAAACTTTAGAACCAGAGAGCAACAAAAAAAAGTGAAGTTGGATTTATAATAAAAAATTCGTAATATGATCTTACCTTAATAATAATGTTCTCAATACATGTTTAGAGATAATTATTATAAAAGTTTTATATATTTTCTAATTAACTTCTTATCTTATTGAAGAAACTAAAAAAGAAATATTCATATTTGAAAGAATTGAGAGTATAATTTTATCCTAAATTTACAAGCAAAAAAAATATCATCAAACATTAAGGGGGCGTTTGGATCAATATATACCCACGTTTGGTTTAGAAGCATTCCCACAAAGGATAAATAAGTATTGCCAACAGTGTTTTTTCCCTTACATTTGTTGGAATCTCATTCCCTTGCAAATCTTAGGTATTTAACAATTACCATGGAATTGGACAGAAATATCCATTTTCAACAATCAATCAACCTATTTTATGGTTGTCATTTTAAGTTACAACATATTTTATGGTTGGTACCACATTTTAGATTACATCACTTGTTCAAGTTGCACTACATTTGCACCACATTTTAGGTTGCAACTCCTTTTTATGTTACAACCTTTTTTTAATGTGATAGATTCCCTATATAGTAGGAGTCATACCTAACAGTAAGTTTATAAATATTGTATAGATTTTCTTTATTATATTTTTTTATTAATTTTGTCAAATTATTTGATATGATATTTTGTACAACTCATACATGTAGAATAAAATAAAAAATGTAGCAATTAGAATATCTTAATATCTTGATACCTAAAAATAAACACATAATTATATTGGTGTAATTATATTGTATTGATGTAAGTATGTTTTTAATTTCAAGAAATAAAAATAAATATAATAAAAATATATATTAAGTTATTTATGTAAAAAATTTATTAAAAATATATAAATAATTTATTAAAAATTAAATGTAATAAAAATATATATTAAATTATTTATATATAAATTTTATTAAAAATATATAAATTAGAAATAACAAAAAGTATACTTTCTATGAAATTTCATTTGTTAAAAAGGAAAATTATCTCAAAGGTAATTTGATAAAATATACATTTTTTTATTTAATTATTTTATCAAATAATGTAATCTTATATTCCTATCAAACAAACCAAACAAGATAATAAAATATTCTCATTAATGTGTTAATTAGTGTAATATTATGATAATCTTATTTTCAATGATAATCTTACATTTCGTAAACCAATCGCACTCTAAACGAGTAAAAATTAGATAAAAATATCTAATTTTTCATTCAAGGTTGAAAATGGCAAAAAAAAAACGGCTCGTCTCACTTGTATCCATCCCACAATAGAATCAATTTTCATCGTTATCTTTTAACGATGTATATAATTTTAAAAATGATAAAATTTATTTTGGAATTAAAAATTTATAAATATAATGATAAAATTATATTCTAACATTTTCCTAAAATTTATAATTCGTATCTAATTATTTTAAAATATCTTTATGACCATACTTTTTATATTAAAATTAATAAAATGAAATGTAAAATCCATTAAATATTACGTTAAAATCGTTGTTGTTATACTAATGGGGTTAGTTCAAGTGGTAAGCATCTTAATATCGCTTAAGCAATGTATCAAGTTCGAGTCTTTGTGTATGAAGAAAATCTTAACTGGGAGACTCACCCACTAAAGCCAGGTGTGCAACCTAAGTCGGTATAGATTAATTAGGACGAAGCCTTATATATTATACTAATAATCAATTTGTTTAGTGAGATAAAATATTAGATTCTTTGAGCAATATCAGAGGTTTAAAACCTGACACTTACGAATGAAGCAACCTAATTTGGGAGGGTTGCGCTCATATTGGACTTCTGTAAAATCCAATTTGGATTAGTCGATCAATAAATTAGATACTAATAATTAATTAAAAAATACATATTATAAGGTAAATTACATAAATGATCACTATAATATGAATACTTGTGATAGTTGTAGTCGAAAAAAAATTAGATATTAATAATTAATTAAAAAAATACATATTATAAGGTAAATTACATAAATGATCACTAAAATATGAATACTTGTGATAGTTGTAGTTGTCAGAGAGAAGTGATCAGTTATAAGGGTGAGCAAAACTCGGCTCAACTCAAAAAATTATTATTTTTTTCAATTTCGAGTTATTTGAGTCAACTCGAATTGTCGATTTGGTTTTTTAGTTCGAGTCGAGTTGGAATTTAAAAAATTCGAGTTACTCAAAACACCAAAAATTTGAATGAGAATTTTGATAGTATTACGATTTAGTCCATGATTTCCTTATTCCTTCAATTTTCCTTCATTTTAAGTCCATTTTTTTTACCAAATTTGAACCACATGATACTAAACCATCATATGCTACATATGTACTTTCAATTCCTCTTTTGATAACAAGTTTTCTATTTTTCAATTTAGTTCTTGAACTTTTTACGATTTCATTATTTATTCAATACTAAATTTGAACCACATGCTCAATTCCTTTGTACAATACTATATAATTATAATAAAATTTGTATAAAAACTCGAATAACTTGATTCAAATTTCTTAAGCTCAACTCGACTAAAATTTTTTTAAGTTCAAGTCATAAAATACGACTCATCAACTTGAATAACTCGAAATTTTTTGACTCCACTCGACTCAATCAAATGCTCATCCCTAATCAGTTAGGGTTTAAGGTTGGATTTTAAACTTTTTTTTTGTTCCAATACCTTTATGTTCTTTGTTTCCCTTTTTGTGGAATTTTATTATTAGGGGTGAGCATTCGATCGAGTCCAGTAAAAAAATTTTGAGTTATTCAAGTTGATGAGTCATATTTTACAACTCGAACTTAACTTCAAATTTTTTCGGTTCGAGTCGAGTTTAAGAAATTCAAATCGAGTTATTCGAGTTTTTGTACTAATTTTATTATAATTATTTATAGTATTATGAAAATGATTTGTTCCAATTTTTTGACCTTATCTAACCATATTATATATATTATTTCATACTATAATGTTATTTAATATATCAAATACAATCTAAAATTATGAAATATATTCATAATATTATATTTTAAAGAAAGTATTTTGAGGGTAAAATATTGATGAGAGTATAAATGAGTCAAGGAATTGATGAGAAGAAAGAATTTGCAAACAATTGTAGTCAAAAGACCAAATCGAGTAAAATGCAAAGTTAAGGGACTAAATAAAAAGATAATATATCTTTAGTAAAAATAAAAATTAAAGTTACATAGGTTTTTTTGTGGTATATGAGCATGTGGTTCAAATTTGGTAAAAAAATGCTTAAAATAAATCACAAATTAAAGGAACAAGGAAATTATGAAAAATTGAATGAATAAATTGAAAAATAAAAAATTTGTTATCAAAAAAGAGGAATTGAAAGCACAAACGTCTACTATAGTTTAGGAGCATGTGGTTCAAATTTGGTAAAAATGGACTTAAAATGAAGGAGAAATTGAAATAATGAAACTAGGGACTAAATCATAAAACTGTCAAAGTACTGGGTTAAATTTTCAATTTTTGAGTAACTTGAAAATTCAAAATTTCAACTCGACTTGAACTCAAAAACCGAATTTATAATTCGAGTTGACTCGAATAACTCGAATTTGAAAAAAAAAATCGATTTTTCAAGTTGAGTCAAGTTTTGCTCACCCATTTTATTAGAATGAAAATATTGTGGTCAACATCAAAACTGTTGTTTTGAAGGAATTGTTTTGAGTATTTTGCTTGTTTACAAATGTTAATTTCTTGCTTATATTTGAAGCTTTTAACCATTGATGCTGAAAAAAGCACTGATCTTTATAATGCCATTATTATTTGATTTTTTTCATGTCTATGATGCTTAAATTTTTATTTTGAAGGGGTAGTTTTTTCTTTCCCTAATCATGCGATATTTTTATGAGTATGGTTTTACAAGTTGTTTTGATAAGGGAATAAAATATTTTAAATTTGAATAATTATATTTATAGGGTGTATATATATTTATTGTTAACTAATTAATTTTTTTAAATATATTTTATTTGCAGAGTATGTGTACATTCATTGTTTTTTTTTTTCACCTTGGTTTATTCCATTGAGTTGTTATGTTTGCAAAGCATTTATCTTTTGAATAGATAAATATATTCTATTTGATAAAATAAAAACATATGCATAGAGTCCATAGTAAATAATCCACACATCGTTATTCACAAAACAAGAAATGAAATAAAGACTTAAGAGGTAACCAAATGCCAATATACATTTATCTCCCATATTTCAACCTAACTTTCTTTTAATAGTTTTGTATCGTTTCC